AGTGGGTGTGGTTTGGGCTTTGCTTCTGTAAAGATTGACAGCCTTGGAAACCCTGTGGGGCAGTTCCACTCTGTCCTCTAGGGGCGCTGTGAGTCAGAATCGACTCGATGGCAGTGGGTTCATGGTGGAAATCTAGGGTTGGTAGCACAGAGGTAAGGAGCTTTGTCTTTGACGCTTTTTCTTCTTGCTGATCTCCCAGAACTAGTCTGGCAGCCTTTGCAATATAACACAGAGCTTAATTTTGTTCAGATTTGAGCTGAATAGTTTTGTCTTGAAAGCAGATCTAATTCAAGAGGGGCATTTGATTTCAGCTAAAAAGTTTCAAAGTTTCTTCATTCCATAAACCTGTAACCAAGTCCCCAAACCTAAAAGGAGTTAAAAAAAAAAAAAAAAAATCTTTCAGAACAGAAGAACAGAGACGGCAGGGTTTGTGCAATGCTAGGGTTTCCTGAACTGTCCTGGCAATTGTCTTAAATGAACGCCCTACGTGGATACAGGTATCCATGCACACCACACGCCTCACTATGTCTCACTCTTTAATTACTGGTTTGAGTTCTGTACTACACCCCTTCAACACCTCAAGATGTGCTAAATAAATCACATCCACATGGACACCTTTCATCAGAGGTTTAGACGTTTAGAGCAGACTAACACCTCCAATTCTACTGTCTGAATGTAAGTAATTGAATTCCTGCTAATTCAACCTAATAAGTCCCTGTTACCTTTCCACTTATTCATGAGGAAAAATGAAAGACGGCATTCCATTTTAAGCTCTGAAATTATGATATCCCTTCTCTTTTAGAAGTTGTCTTCTTCCTAAAGGACATTGGTTTCATGAACAAAAGTATCTCCTCTTCCATCTATGTGTAACATAAAACTTAAAAAAAAAAAACACACACCAATAAAACAAAAAAACCTAACGCACTGTCAAGTCAATTCAAGGCTGTAAGTCCTGACAGAAGTAGACTGCCTCATCTTCCTCCTGTGGAGCAGCTGGTGGGTTTGAACCACTGACCTTCAAGTTAGTAGCCAAGTACCTCATGCACTGCGCTACCAGAGCTCCTCCTACAAGTAATATAGGGATGTGATTTCAAAAGCTAAGGACTCAAGCAACTTTGCAGTTTCCCTTCCATTATGACTACAGATGTAGACTTTTTCTTCTTTTTTTTTAAATGGGTGCAAATTTACAAAGCAGATTTGTTTTTAATAGTTCATGCATATTTGATTTCATGGTCCTGATTACCCTCCCCAGACATAAAAAAAAACTCTTCTCCCCTCTCTTCCCTGTGACTACCCCCTCTCCCCATGTCCTTCTTATTCATGTGTACCTGTCTGTCCAACTTTCCCTCTACATGAATGCTG